CACACACACACACACACACACACACACACACACACACACACACACACACACACACACACACACACACCAGCTGGTGTCTGCAGTATCAGAGGTTCCTCTCAGGGTTTTTTAATGAATAATTTATATTTTTTGTAATTTACTGATGTTTTAACAGAAATTTTTGTCTTTAAATTAAATTTTGAGGATTTCTCATTTAAAACTGATTTAAAGGTAAATCAGGTGTTGATAACGAGCATTACCTGCTGAGTTTAACGGTTTATTTGAGGTGTTTTCTGTCCTTCGGCTCATCGAGGACATGAACACAGCTGGGTAAAGATCTGGGTTGTGTTTGATGCAGACGTTTGGTTTATTTGTTTATTTTTGTGTCTGAATCTGAGGATCCTGACAGAAACCCTCTGGTTCACGAAGCTCCAACTGATCCAGACTTCCTCCCGTGTCYCCTGCAGGGGGCGCTGCAGACGGTGAACGAAGATGGCCAACGCCGTGGCTTCCTACGACCAGCTGGCCCACCAGGTGGAGGCTCTCCGGAAGGAGAACTCCCACCTGAGGAGGGAGCTGGAGGACAACTCCAACCACCTGTTCAAGCTGGAGACCGAGACGTTCGGCATGAAGGTCAGCGAGGACTCGGGCCTCCGGGTTCCTCTGGTTTATAGAAGTTAAAACTTGTCACCCACTTCGGATGTTATCATCCATGAAATGAACATTATTAGGCGTTGTCAGTCCCATAGAATGGCTTCAGGGGGTCCCTACTGTGCCTTCTAGGCTTCAGACTGTCCCGACAGTGCCCCCTGGTGGGTTAATATTTCAATGACAATGAATGTGTAAATAACCAAAAGATTCTGTAATAAATTTTTTGTGTCCATGTCGAACCCTGGTCTCCCGCTCTCTAGTCCAACACTCTACCCATTGCCCTGTTGGAAGGCCACAATAAACAACCGTTGGAGGGCGGTGTCTTTAGCGCTAACCACGTCATTTGCTCTAAAGTTAACCTTAGTGGCGTTAAGCCTCATATTAACCAGTTTTTTATGCCTCATATTAACCAGTTTTTTATGCCTCATATTAACCAGCTGACAATCTGAAGCCATTCTATGGGACGGGGAACCTGCTAACTGGCACAGGTGGGACATTCTGAAGCCATTCTATGGGACTGATAACGCCTAATAACGTCCATTTCATGGACTGATAACATCAGAATCCCCTGAACTTGTTCAGGTTTAGGACCGGGGGGCTTCCCAAACAGCATCAGCTTCTGTCCCGGGACCCCCCATCGTAAACCCACACACAAAACTGTTAATAAGAACCAAATAAATCAAATGTCCTGATGCATCTCAGTAATCCAGATAAAAAAACAAAAAGAAATAAATAGTATAGGTCTTCTGGACGGGTTCTTCTCTAATGAAACGTTTCGTCTCTCCTCCAAGAGACTTCTTCAGTCTGAGAG